TCGAATTTGTTGTCCCACATGCCCGAAGCGCGTGTGTGCTGGTTGCAGGTCCAAGTGTATGTCCTGGGTATTAGGTGCATTGTTGCATGCCAATAACACCCAGGCAGGAAGGAATGAATGCTATGGTGTAGTGAACTTTAAAGTGCTCTGTCCTGTGCAAATAGATGCAAAGGTCTGGTCTGGGTTGACACTACTGCGATTCGCGGTTTAAGGTTCTGGGTTCGATTCCTGGGGAGACCCCCGAATTAGTCGGGAGCGCGAGATTATGGCTAGCTGCTGAGATGTGGAGTTGAGGTCGCAGTTGATGGACCAGATTCGCACGCTAGATTGGTGGCGATTGCCGAACCCTCTGTCTCTTCGGTTGTTCGGGTGAATGGATGAGGAGGGGTCCTAGATGGCTGGACCCGCCGCCTTGGACTTACAGTTCGTATGGCGAAGTATAGTGTGGTAGTGGTGGACGGTGCTATAAGATGATAAATCGTAGAACTGACAATGTGATAAAGCGGCCCAGAAGCCTCCCACTCTGTAACATTACATTACAGATGCAAAGGCACATGCACACAGCAGGGAGACAAGCAAACAAGTGAGGGACTGCAAATAAAGTGCAATACAGCATATGTGTATGCATGTATATGTGTACATATGTCATCCATCGTCATGTGTGTACACGGCTGGCCACAAACAGGATTACATATGCCAGGTTTTCTTATTAGTGCACTCTGTGAGTGCAGTAGTGCAAGTACAGCTCTCCATCCATCATAACCGACCTTAGCTTGTGTTGTGGCACACTTGCATATTAACCCTCGGATCTTTCCCCAATTCTCTGGCACTTTGCCGCTGGGCAATATCTTCGCTCTTACTTGGTTAACCATTGGGCACTTGCCTATCTTTAATTGGGCGCTGGCCCACCTTTAAGCGGGCACTTGCCTGTCTTCATCACGCGTGATACTGGATTATAGCGCTCTTGCTATAATCGTGACACTTGTCACTGGTAGACCCACTTGGGTTACGATTGCACCGATTGGTGATAATTCGCGTTGACGACTATATCTTCGGACCGTACAGACTTCTGTACGGGTCGTCCTAACGCAGAGGCATTTAGCCTCTTCTCATTCACTCATCGGTAGTTTTCACTACCACCTAAACAGTGG